CAGATGGGCACTTTGCTCTGACCAGAAGAATAGCTGCTGAAAAGTCACAGAAGTGGAGGAATTTTGTTCAAAGGACAGCAAGTATATTGTGCCTTGAGTGTACAATGTGATGAAGCTGGAGGATGAGATGGAAGTGACACCTGAGCCCTGTTTGTTTCAGATCTTATTTGGTTAGGAGGTTGACATGATCCTAAAGCAGCCGTGGGCAAACTACGGCCCGCAGGCCGGATATAAAACTAAAAAAAAAAAGACCGTACCCTTTTATGTAATGATGTTTACTTTGAATTTATATTAGTTCACACAAACACTCCATCCATGCTTTTGTTCTGGCCCTCCGGTCCAGTTTAAGAACCCATTGTGGCCCTCGAGTCAAAAAGTTTGCCCACCCCTGTCCTAAAGGCATTGGCTAATCAATAGAGGCTTACATTTGATAATGGGAACTCAGATGTCAGTATAGAGCAGTGGTTCTCAACCTTCTGGCCCTTTAAATACAGTTCCTCATGTTGTGACCCAACCATAAAATTATTTTCATTGCTACTTCATAACTGTAATGTTGCTACTGTTATGAATCGTAATGTAAATATCTGATATGCAGGATGGTCTTAGGCAATCCCTGTGAAAGGGTCATTCGACCGCCAAAGGGGTCGCGACCCACAGGTTGAGAACCGCTGGTGTAGAGGGTGAATTTAGATACATACTAAGCAATAGGTCCTAGCAATCCTAACAAGAGGTGATGATATACAAAACTAAGGCAGGAACTATCAAATTAATAGCAATAGAGACCTTGAAGAGATAAAAGAAATTTACTCTCCTCCTCCCTCAGGCCCAGCCCAGGCACTTCTATTTGGAGTCCATTTTATCAGGGAGCCTTAAATGGCTATTGGATATGTGCAAAGATGGTAATGCCAGCAAAGGAGTGTGGTCCTCTTTTTTTTCACACATCAGTAATGTTTCCTGCTGTGGGTTCCTCTTTACCAATTCAGATGGGGAATCATCACTGTGGACTTCAGAGGAAAGGGTAATTATAAAATTCATTAGGCTTCCTGAAGGAAGAAATATATTGTCTTCCAAGAAAATAATTGAACCACCATGGGCAAAGAGCTTCACCTGTATAATTTAAAGCTATGCAGTGGGTCGTTGTCTAGTGTTTCAAATCTAGTCTACATGTAGCTAATTCATAATCAGGCTCCATCTGGCCAAAATTAGTCACATTATTCTGTAGGCCAAGCAACACTATCTGTTTTGCTTTAGAGGTTTCAATAGTCTATCCAATGTAGTCTAATGTGCATCTGGATTATCCATTCTCCTTTTCTCAAAATATTTGAATCTTGCTGGAGTGAAAAGAAAAAGTAGAATCTATGTATGGCACGTATCATAAAAAAGTTCTTGTTTTAAGAGCCCAAGGCCCTTTCTAGAAGGGGGTTAGGATGGAATAGTCTTACACCCTTTTCAAGGACAGGGAAACCAAGCAGGTGTGTGCTGAGCTGCCAGGTGTGGAGGTGGTCAATTAGGATAAGCCAAAATGAAAGTAATAGACAAACCGCTTTATTCACTTACTTCGATAGTGCAGGCAAGAGGCAAAAGAGAAAGGCACTGGCTCTCTGTTCCATTCCCCACCCCACCCCCCTGAACTCCTGTCCCCTTATGGAAGAACAGCAGGCAAGGATCAAATGGAAGCAGAAATGGGGAGAGGTCATCTCACTGCCAAGTACCCTGAACAAAAAGCTCCTGCTTTTGTATGGACCTGTGGGGCCACAGCAAGGAAGAGGGGGAAAGACTAGGTGTCAAAAGGCAAAACTGCCTCCACAACAGTCCCTGATAATGAGGTCTTAGTGGAGGTGCTTGGAAAATGTCTCGCTGAAGCTCCCTGATAAAATGGACTCCAAATAGAAGTGCCTGGGCTGGGAATGCAGGATGCATTGGAGCATGGCTGGCTCCAGGGGACCTCCGTTCTCGTCTGTAATTCCCTCCAGGTAACTACAATGCACAGGCTGTGCACCTTCTGGTGTGAGGAGGGCAGCTTCCCCTCTGAGGCCTGCCAGTCAAAGCCTTGTCATTGCCTATGCTCAGACCTGACTGATCACACAGAGAATATTGTTCTGGAGCCACGTTCCTCACTGTAAATCCAGAAGAACTCAGATCTGGTAATAAATGAAGGTGGTTTTAGGTGTCTAGCATGCCAGTCTGTCAAAAGCCATAAATTGTGAATAGAGGGCATAAAGGACATTTTTTGATCTGTCATGCAATCACTAAGAATAGTTGGCATGCCCTAACTGGTTTGGCTCAGTGGATAGAGCATCGGCCTGCAGACTGAAGGGTCCCAGGTTCCATTCCGGTCAACGGCATGTACCTTGGTTGCAGGCACATCCCCGGTGGGGAGTGTGCAGGAGGCAGCTGATCGATGTTTCTCTCTCATCGATGTTTCTAACTCTCTATCCCTCTCCCTTTCTCTCTGTAAAAAAATCAATAAAATATATATATTTTTAAAAAGAGCCCTAGCCTGTTTGGCTCAGTGGATAGATAGAGTGTCGGCCTGCAGACTGAAGGGTCTCAGGTTCGATACCAGTCAAGGGCACATGCTCAGGTTGTGGGCTCGATCCCAGTATGGGGCGTGCAGGATACAGCCAATCAATGATTCTCTCTCATCATCGATGTTTCAATCTCTCTCTTCCTCCCTCTTCCTTCCTCTCTGAAATCAATAAAATATATATAT